AACTGTAGTTTACTAAAACAAAAGCTGCGCTCTTTCCAGGCATTACATGTTTTTATTTTATTTTTTTATATTTTATAGTCTATGTTGCGTTTTTGTTAAAAGAAGGGGGTTGTAAGCCCGGCTTGTTTGCTACATAGCCTGAGAAGTATACAATACAGCACCGCTTCGACTTAACCGCGATAGGAATTTAAAGTTTTTCCGAGCATGCGCAGAAATAAATACATAATTGTGCATAAAATGAGATAACAGAGGTGCAAAGTGCGAATGCTATAAACGGGAGCTGTGTAAATCTAGCTTTGCGAACGCAGGTTCTTATTTTTCTACAGCAAGTATAACTAACACCAATATGAAATATTATCAATAACTTTAGTTAATATATTTGAAATTAATTATTATATTAACGCATACATTTTAAAAGATTGGTATTAGAAAGCACACATTACTATATACTAAAATGGCTGGAATAATCCCGAGTTATAAACATTTCCGAAAGAAACTCGAGTGTTCCGAAGAGACATTGAATTGGGAACTTATGTTTGTGAAGTTGCTGGGTTTAATTATTTAAATGACAATTGGATAGGTTTTGCTGGCCTAAAAGAAATAGGGTCACAGAAATAGTTCTTATTAGTGAGAATATCTGTATTTCATTAGTCTGTTGCATGTCATTGTTAACCACAGTGAAACAAATGAAAGTAGTTTGTAAAAGGATTTACACAGATGCAGATGTAATTATGCCAAACGCGGTAAAAGCGCTGACTTATTATGATAATCAGTCACCACATACTCAAATAAAAAGTGTGATTTCGAAATTCATCTTGATTTATGTTATTGTTCGTACACAGCTTCGTTGAAAAAATATAGTTTTGTTTTGTTTGGGGAGATGGGGGGGGGGGGGGGGGGGGGGGGGCGAGTTGTTATTTGTTTTTATATTAATAATGAGGAATTCTTGTTTACTGTGACATGTGTCTACCTATTCAAGATATCCCGTTAGTTCTAAGTTTAGGGTTGATAACTTTACAGGAATTTTCATGTACGGATACAGAAAGTTGATGTCAGAATTTGTTTGTTTGTTTGTTTGTTTATGTTTAACGGCCCATCGACGGCTGTGGTCAATTAGGGCCATGGTGATTTATTGATCTATTTTACTTTTTTAACAAACATGTGAATAGCGAAGATAAAATCAGATAAAATGGTTCATTTTTAAAAGTATTCGCATTGTATGTGTAGATAATAAAAAATAATAAAAGGGGGTTAAAATAATAAAAGAGATAACGAATAGATGATATGGAATATGCGATATATATATAACGTCAAAAATGATAAGGTGGGTTAAAAGACATCAGAGTCTATAAAATAGACCGATGTCTTTCAAATAGTTAAATAATGCCTTCGAATCCACGGAACTGAAAAGTGTTTTCATATCCGGGACTCGGAAGTAGTTATCACGAATGTGTTTAAAATCGGAACATTCTATTAAAAAATGCTCCACTGTAAATGGAGTGTCACATGCGTGGCATGAAGGTATATCTTCTCGTTTTAAAAGGTACGAATGAGTAGGATATGTGTGCCCAGTGCGGAGCCGAGCGAGGACAACTTCCTCTCTACGATCTTTCCGACTGGGAATAGATGTTTTAAGTTTCGGTTGTATCTTAAAAAGTTTGTTGTTGGTCTCCAGAGACCAGCGTTTCTGCCATTCATTTTGAATGGCTGTACGAATAGTAGGTTTAAAATCTGTGTATGGTAGTTTGATATTTGTTTGTTCGAGATTCAATGCATTTTTTGCTTCCCTGTCAGCAAATTCGTTGCCTTTTATTCCGACATGGCTCGGAATCCATAGTAAAGTTATTTTAGACTTTTTTAATATACGAGATATTCGAAGAGCAAGGTTTTGTACGATTGTGTTTTTAGGATCTCGTAACTGTAAACTCTGTAGGACAGATAGAGAGTCTGAACAAATAATTGCCTTTTTAATGCGGTGTTCATCGATATGGTCGAGGGCCAAACCAATGGCGCATGCTTCAGCAGAAAAGATGGAGGCGCCGTCTGGTAGTCGGACTGAAGTGCAAGTATTGGCAGTACAGCAGGCTGCTGCCACTTTCTCACCTTCTTTGGAGCCATCGGTGTAAAGTTGTGTATGAGAAGGGTAATTCGAAATGCATTCCCGAAAGGAGGATTTGTGTTCTTCGGGCATAACACTTGATTTCCCTCGCTCATGTAATGTAAAGTTAAAATCGGGGGTTTGAATGGTCCACGGAGGAACATCAGATATGTTAAATTCAGCTATGTCCGTCAATTTTATGTTGAGTTCTTGCAGGAAATTCAAAATTCGGATACCAAATGTTGGCAGAAGTTTTTGGTTTTGCGTAAATATGTTTTGGTATTTGGGGTTGAATACTTGGTTGAAAGCAGGATTTTTAGGGTTTGATTTTAATTGAGTTGCAAATTGTAATGAAAGTTTTATTCTTCTGTCATAAAGGGATGGTTCATTTGCTTCCACGTACAGGCTTTTTACAGGTGTTGTTCGAAAAGCTCCCAGGGCAAGACGTAGCCCTTGGTTATGGATTGGATCTAGCATCTGAAGGTACGAACTGCGCGCTGACCCGTATACCATAGAACCATAATCCAGTTTTGTTCGAATAAGTGATCTGTATAGGCGCAAAAGCATTTCACGATCCGCTCCCCAATCAGTATGAGAAAGGACTCGTATAATGTTTAACGCCTTGGAACACTTATCCTTCAGATACTTTATATGTGGTATGAAAGAGAGTTTCGAATCAAAAATGAGGCCGAGAAATTTAGTCTGTTCAACAACAGGAATTCTAGTGCCATCGAGTGTTAGATTTGGGTCATTGTGTGCTTTTCGTTTTTGACAGAAATGCATGCACACAGTTTTGGATTTAGAGAATTTGAAGCCGTTTTCGTCTGCCCAATTTTGTAGTTTGTTTAAACTCTGTTGAAGTTGTCGTTCTATCGTGTGCATGTTCTTAGATCTGTAACAGATCAAGAAGTCATCCACAAATAACGACCCTTCTGTTGATTGACCAAGACATTTGACTATATCATTGATTTTAAGACCAAACAGTGTGACTGATAGGATTCCACCCTGTGGGACTCCCATTTCCTGTTTAGACGTTTCAGAAAAAGTTGAACCAACACGGACTTTGAAGTGTCTATCTGATAGGTAATTAGATATAAAATTGGGAAGGTTTCCACGTACGCCAAGGTCGTGAAGATCTTTCATGATGCCATACTGCCATGTAGTATCATAGGCCTTCTCAAGATCGAAGAACACAGCGACAAGGTGTTCTTTCTTGGCGAAAGCCTCTCGAATGAACGTCTCTAATCTGATGAGATGGTCATTTGTCCCTCTTCTATTTCTAAAGCCACTTTGAAGAGGGGATATTATATCGTTGGCCTCAAGAAACCAAACCAGTCTAGTGTTTATCATTCGTTCTAAAGTTTTACATACACAACTAGTCAGAGAGATAGGACGATAGTTGTTTGGGTCAGTAGCATCCTTTCCCGGTTTTGGGATAGGTATAATTGTGGAGTTCTTCCACGAATCGGGAATCTTTCCGGAAGCGTAAACTTGGTTGAATATGTAAAGAAGGCATGTTAGTGAAGAGTCCGGTAAGTGCTTTAGAAATTGATATGGAATATCATCAGGACCTGAAGCAGTGTCCTGTGATTTTCTAAGCGAATCAACAAGTTCTGGTAGGGTAAATTAATTGTTCATTATAACTTTCTTTGTTTGATGATTTGAAATTGAGCCGTTTCTTTTCTCTTTTTTTTTTTTAAAGACTGGAATTTTTGGGAGTGGTTTAAAGGGGATGAGTTTTTAGCTATGTTTTTTGCAAATACATCAGCAATTTCAGTCATAGACGAGAAAATTTTGTTTTTATTGATACGGTGGGAGGATGTTACCTTTTTCTTTTTCCCACTTATTTTCCAAATCATATCCCATACTTTTTTTGAGGACGTGTTTGATGATATCTTGGATACATATTCTGTCCAGCTGTTTCTTTTGTCAATTTTAATTGATCGCCGAGCCTTTGCCCGCCAAATTTTAAATTCACTGTAGTTTGAAGCAGTTGGGCAATTGAAGTAGCGTCTTAGAGCAGCTGCCCGATTACTGTGTGTTTTAAAAGATTCTTCATATTAAAGGAACTTCGTAGGTTTTGGAGCGGATTTTGGAATTGTCTTTTGGGCAATAGAAGTGAGTGTTTCAGTAAAAGTTTTGATAGGGTCGTCGAGGTTAATACATTTGTCTATGGTTAGTTTTTCAATGCACATGTGTTGGAATTTGGCCCAATCTGCTTTGTGCATATTCCATCGAGGTAGAGGATCATCAAGAGGAGTCCCAATATTCTTAAGAAAAATTGGGAAGTGGTCACTCCCACAAAGATCATCATTTACCCTCCAGTCATAGTCAAGTAAAATGGATGGATGGCATAATGATAGATCAATGTGGGTACGAGAGCCTGAAGCAGGGTGTAAATAAGTAGGGGTATTGTTGTTAAAAAGGCACAAGGTTTTTTCTCTAAATTCCTCAATACGTCTTCCTCTCTCGTCTGTGTTGGGAGAGCCCAACAGGCTATTATGACCATTAAAATCACCGAGGATTATGAATGGTGTTGGGAGCTGGGAGACGAGATTATTGAGTTGCTCACAAGTGAAAACAATACTCGGAGGGAGATAAATTGAACATACGGATATTTGCCTGTGTAATGATGCACAGACAGCAACAGCCTGTAAATTTGTGTTTAACTTGATCATTCTGTGAGGAATATTTTTATGGACAGCTACCGCTGCGCCACCTGCTGCTCTGCTAACTACAGTTGGAATGTTAGTGTAGAGTGAGAAATTTCTAAGCGTGATTGGGTTTTTGAGCATGATTTCTTGTAGACAAAAAATGGCGGGTCTAAATTCTTTTGATAGATTCTGAAATTCTTCTATATTTGCCTTTAATCCGCGGATGTTCCATTGGATAATTGTATTATTTATCTTTTGCTATTTTGGCTGGATTTCGATCGAGTCGAAGCACGAGGCGCTAAGGCAATCGTCTCCATCTCATCATCGTAATCTAGAAGGACATTGAACCGGTTTGTCGGGTCCTCTGATCCTTTGCCAAAGGTGACATTCAGATCAGGTCCATCAGATTCGCCCCTCGCTATTCTAATTTTTTTCCTAGGTCTGTTGGTAGGTGATGTTACGTCTTGCCTCATTTGGGACCGAGGAACAGATATGAGTGAGCGAGATCGCTGCAACCCCATCTGTGCCCTAGATGGGCCAACCTTTGGAGGGTTTTCTCCTGAATAGGAAGGTGTTTTTGATGGTGGTGCTGGTTTTGATGGTGTTGCTGGTTTTGATGGTGTTGCTGGTTTTGATGAAGATGGTGTTTTTGAGAGTGATGCTGCTTTTGACAGGTTGTTTGGTTTGGTTGATTTGGTTGGTTTGGTTAAAGTCGTGAAACGGGATGGGTCCCCCGTGAGGATTTTCAAGTCCTGTTGACCAGCCATGTCTGGGACTTGTGAGCCCCAGGCAGGTATGTCTTCAGAAACTTGAACTGAAGCATCCTTGACAGTGACACTGTTAACCGGCGCCTTGCCTCGAGTCACTTGTGCGTAAGAGGATGTAGCAATGTCTGCACTCCCGACTATCCTCCTGGCCTCGGGGAAAGAGACACCTCGGGTGTATTTAACCCGTAATATCTCCCTCTCCTGGCTCCAGGTAGGGCAGTCGCGAGAAGTGGCAGCGTGCTTCCCCTCACAGATGACACAGTGCAGGTTGGCGATGTCAGTCATTTTGTTCGGTGTGACCCTCACGGCCACAATACTGGCAGATCGCTTTTCGTCTACATCGCTTTTCGTGATGACCGTACTTCTGACAGTTTCGGCATCGCAAATGGGATGTAGACGGAAACGTTGTACCTCTGGTATCCGATTGTTATTATATGGGGTAGTGTTGGTGTTGAAAAAGTGATGATGAAGGTGTTTGTTTTGATAGTATCATTGTTTCTCCTGATCACCATACGCCTCACCTCAGAGACCGGGACGCTCTCCTCCTGGAAATATGCCAGCATGTCTTCATCGGTGTCATTGCGCAAGGCTGGGCACCTGATTACCCCCTTACTGCAATTAAGTGATGAGTGTGGTTTCACACTGACACCGATGCCGCCAAAACTGGTTGTTCCGAGTAGGTTCACCGCCTGTTGTTGGCGATAAACCTCTATAAGGAGATCGCCCGATCCCAATGGCTTAACAGATTTCACATCCCCTGCGATTCCCTGGATGCCCTTCCTCAACAGAAGTGTCGACAACGCGGCCGTTGTTTTACCACTCTGTGTGGAGGTCATCACAAGGAATTGCGGGAATGGGGTGTTCTGTGTTGCGTTTTGTGTTTTTTTTGAGCTTGGTTCATCGTTCCTGATTTTGTTATGTCCGTCGTTTTAGTGGTTTTTATCTTTACCCATGTGTATATTTGTTTGTTTCACGTTCTATGCCTCCACCCGCCACGGAGCCCAACAAGGGGACACTGGTGTGACGCGGATATCCAGCGCCAAGTGTCGGAGATACATAGAATAGTATACACGAGATGCAACCCACGGCAAACAGTTTGGCTCAAATTGGAGCTACTGTGAAAGCCTTCTGCTACGATGACGCCCAGCGCGCCACAATCATACCCCCGAAATGATCACATACGCACTGAGCACTAACGTACCCAGTCTCGGGACGTGGACCCAGCTTTCTTGGAGGCGCAGATGTCAGAAAGACTTAAAGCTGAGTTAGTTGATTCAACATTGAATCATTCACATCACTTGTATTGCTTGTTGTAAGCAAAAGTTATTGATTTTTGCTGATTATTCTGTGTTATAAGTTCATGCTTTAAAGTTTGTGCTCATGTATTTTGTGAGTAAACAGATAAAGGACATGTACAACTGTTCAGTGTTCCTCTAAACCAATGAAATTAGTTAACCTCCCCCACCCACCCCAAGCAGTTGTATATAAATTGTTCAGATTGTTTCCCATTTTTCAAAGACTCCTATTGGTTAATTTAGATCTGGTGGTAAAGAACCTTGCAATTTACCAGATATAACCAAATCTAAAATACACAGAGAATATTTATAATGAAATACAATTAATCATACCCAGAACTGCTTATTTTTACATTTGATCTAATTGACCTCTCTAGGTTAATTATAAGTCCAAGAAAAAAATCATAATAAATTATACTTTAAGGACAATGTTTTTATCAGGAATATACTATGTATGTGTACATTTCTCTTTAGCAAGGTTATTTTATTATATCGAATTAATCTTATCATCTTTATTAATGAAAAGTGACTGGCACTGGATCATAAACTAGGGAACTTAGATATAATTTCAAAAATGAATGTCCTATTTTTCAGTTCCTTTTCCACATGAATTTTATCACACAGGGGAGCATATGGCAACTGGACTTTTTCCCAGAGGTTTGAAGTAGATTCCAAGAGCAATATTCAGTTTACGGACACATGCACTTTAAATTTGGGCTCAAGACTTAAAAACTTTTTAATAATAATATCTAGGATAGTAATTTCAGCCCGAAAAACAAAACAAAAATTTGAACCAGAACAAATTCTGTTTGAGAATAAAAAACTGTTTAAAATATATAAATATATATATATATATAGCACTGACACTCAATCCATATTGATATTCAATATTAGAAATTTGAATATTTTTGCTGTGCATAATTATTTCCACTATCTACAACCTATAGGGACATGTCAAATACTACCAGGTTGTCAGGTACGCATTTATATACACAATGGAAGATATTAAATATAATAAATGGGCATCACAGTATATATACATATATTATAAAAGCAGAAAAAGTATCCTTACGGACGAAGAACTAATATCAACAACGCGTCTTTAGTACTTTCATCTCTTATAGGAGATTCTTCAGACCGTTTATTTCAAGTATATATGTTGTGACGTCATACACTATGAGGTCACATAATAGTTCGCTATAGCGACGTCCGCTATACACGTACCCGCCATAGCGACATCACAGCAATAGAAATACATTAATAATAGTCTTAAGGCAAAGAGTACTCTTTTTAGGATTTAGAATTACTAGTAATACTGTTATTTACAAAAAAATAAAAAATAAATAAAAAAATAAAATAAAAAAAGGAAATTAAAAATCTCCCTATGTGAGTCTTAATCTTTAAGTGAGGAGCATCAACGTGCCTATTGAAGGCACTTATATCTATGATCTGACGCCACGCAACGGACTTCTTCTGAACCAGAAACATTCTGGAGTAGAAACCGAGGTACATTCCGACAAAGGAACCTCCTCGACCGCGCCCTAGGTAATCAGGGTCTTTACTTCCTCCTGGATCGCCGAAGCCTTTTACGGATCCCCCGGTGGAGGAAAAATAGGCTCTGATGTTACGGCGGATCCCGAAACTAGCGCATATTCTAACCCAACTTGAACCACACACACACATTGGAAGATCTGGTCGAGGCAGATCGAGACCTTGCCAGGCAAGAGAACCGTCTGCCAACCCGAAGCCTGATCCCGCACTGCGGGAGAATGACCCAAGGATGTACCGAGAAAACTGCACTCTATCCAGGACAAACCCGTATCGGTAATCCGACCCTCAGGTAAGCCGGATACCTTTTATAGACAAACCGTCAGGTAGTGTATATAAGACAGAATTTGAATCAAGAGACGCAGCAGTCTGTCCTTCTTTCGGTGTTCTTTGGGGCCGAACACCACCTGGTCCACCGATTTGCCGGATCAGGCTGCGAGTTCCCTCGATTCCGGCTTAGTTGGTTGCGGGGCAAGCACCAAATTATGTGTGGCGTAGTCAGTGGCGTGCACCTCCGACACTGTGCTGTGACCCAGCATACCAAAGACTACGGGTTGAAGAAGAATTCCTCACTAAAACCAGAGACTGGACGGTGGCAAGAGCTGAAGACTCGATAGTGCCTTCTGGCAGAGATCGGTCCGACTGAGCGGACACCCGAGGAGCCACCAAGGAACCAAAAATTGTGGCTGACACGGGGACAGATGACGCCGATGGTGGTGGTCATACATGCTTTGACTCAAACTCAGCAGCATTTAGGGTCAACCTCATCCTGGACATCCTCCTCAAAGGGCAATCCCTCCTGAGGACCGTCATCAGACGACTCGGAAAGACCAGCGTCTATATCAGAGCAACCATGTGGGAGATGAATAACGTCATTGTCCTCTGCCACAGCAGTGTCCTCAAAGTCCATAGCCTCCACAGTCCAGAAATCGCGGCCGGAGGAAATGGGCCAGCCAGAGGGGCCAACTCGAGAGGAGGAGGCTTCACATAACGGCGTTTAGGTGCAGTGCTAATAGCCACCATGGCTTAAGGTTAAGGCTTAGTAACCAAAAAAAAAACTACCCTTGATCAACGAGTCTACCCGAGGGGCAGAAGTCGTAAATGTTCGATCCGACACACCTTAATAGGACCGGCCGATCAGGCCCCCGAGGTAGCAGAATGTGTGTGTGTCGGGGGGGGGGGGGGGGNCGAGGAGACCAAACCCCAAGGACTCCATAAAGGAAACGCCATGGAGTTAAACCCTTATCCAAGAGGATAAGGAAAAGGTCACGCGGACAGCACCACCTAACCGTCGGCCAGTAGTCCCTACGCGAAGGCAAGCACGAACGCTTACGGGCGTTCCCGGCCAATTCACATCTAGAATAGAGATCCTTGAGACAGCAACAGAGACAATACAGCCAGCCGGCAGCGGGCACCACCCATACCTCTCTGCTTCCCTCGCTTACTGGAAGAAACAGACGAATCTCTATTACTGTAAGCTGAGGGTCGCTTAGGAACTGGGGAACCGTCTTGTCCTGAAAGTCAGTCTATGAACAAAGTTCACAAGGCAAAACCTCACTACAAGGACGACACTGAGCACAAGCACCATGAGGGTCCCGTTCCACAAAGAAATGGGAATACCCATGAGCTGACCCCCGTCCCTGTCCCGACCGAGATATACCCACTAAATCAGAAAAATAAACAAAGTTTATAAGTAAACAAAGCTGGGAAAAAACAAAGTACGACGTAGAATGAAATTTACCCGTAATACAAATCAAAACGGTGAAATAGACAACGTTTGCCGAAACAAACAACCGTAACCGAAATAAACACCGGTCGTAAATTTACAACCCGCCGACAATAAACACAGTAATGGCGGACAACATAGAATACCACCGGGACACGTGGAATAAAAAACCGTCCGAAAAAGACAAAAAAAATAATTTAACAACAAATAATACATGGGTATATTGTAGTTACAAGGACACATGGGTATATGTAGTAGAGTGGTTTAATTCTGATTTTAAGAATAAAAAAACCCACTGATTTTGTGTTGTTTTATATATATATATACACATTTGTTTGTATATATATATACATAGGTATGGGGCAAAGAAGTAATTCCAACAGTTATGATACAAATAATACTTTTACAAAGGTACGGGTCAAAGAAGTAATTTAGACGGTAAAATCCCATACTGGATCCTAATGGAGGTATGTCCGTAGGATACGAATGACTTAACCTAGTATATGGGGCAAAGAAGTAATTCCAACAGTGTGGACAAGTTTTGGTGGTCAAAATTTCGGAGCGATCCGCTCCTTTATCAAGAAGGGACGAGGTATCAAAAACGTATGGGCGGCCGTTTTAGGATAAAATACATAAACTACTTAAGTGCAAAAACTTTTGCACTTAAGTGCAAAAGATTTACACTTAAGTGAAAAAAACTGGACATAATGGCAAAA